ATTGACAAAGTTCAGAGAGCAGCATCCTTACTAATAACGGATGCCTTCAGGAGAACACCCCAAGCAGCACTGGACACCCTAAGTTCACTGAGCATACAGGTAGAGGAACAGGCAATCAGGTATGCTCTTCTACTCAGAGAACTAAACGAATGGCGCAGACGATCCTTTGGACATTCTGCGATTCTAAGACGTGTAAGGAATGTGGGAGTGGAAGCCAATACAAGTGACTATATTTCACCACGGTTGAACTTTGACCCACCTGACATACACATACCTAACAGGGACGCCTGGACGCATAACAATCCACCTTTCCGCGGCATAGCTGTTTATACGGACATTTCAAAGATGGAATGTGGAACGGGAGCTGGTGTCTTCTGTGATACCCTTAATGTTCGTGAATCCTACAAGCTTGGAAACGACTGTAGCGTATTTCAGCTGGAAATTTTTGCGGTCAAAAAAGCCACAGACCTTCTATTCACGAGGAATACTGAGGTTAGCGATCCGGTGACCATATACGACGATTTCGACGATTCTAAGACGTGTAAGGAATGTGGGAGTGGACGGCAATACAAGTGACTATATTTCACCACGGTTAAGCTCTGACCCACCTGACATACACATACCTAACAGGGACGCCTGGGCCTATAACAACCCACCTTTCTGCGGCATAGCTGTTTATACGGACAGTTCAAACATGGAATGTGGAACGGGAGCTGGTGTCTTCTGTGATACCCTTAATGTTCGTGAATCCAACAAGCTTGGAAACGACTGGAGCGTATTCTAGGCGGAAATTTTTGCGGTCAAAAAAGCCACAGACCTGCTGGTCACAAGGAATACTAAGGTTAGTCAGGCAGCACCTTAAATTCCTATACCATTAAGTCCAGGGTTGTTTTAAACTACAGAAGAACCTTGGAAAACACTGGGTTGTCCATCAAGCTCTGTCGGGTTCCTGATCATTATAATATTCCAGGCAACGAGACTGCAGACGAATTGGCCAGGCTAGGATCCGAATCAACTGCCATTGATGTAGATAACTCGGTTAAACCACCACTGTGCCACTTCCTGCATGTTATTCACAGACACAACTCTTAGAGAATCCAAAAAGGATGGCTGGATGAAATGGGTTGTACCACTTCCAAAAGAATCTGGCCCATACTCTCGGAGAAGAGAACAAAATCGCTACTGTCATTGTCGAAACCTGATTTAAAACTTGTGCTGGATATCATCACAGGTCACTGTAAGGTAAGGGCAATGACCTCGAAATGTGCTAGCGATGACATTGACTACTGTAGGATCTCTCAAGATGAAGAAGAAAAATTGAGAAGGTCGAACACTTGCTCTGTCATTGCCCAGCACTCTTTAAAGTGAGATACAGGTTAGTGGGGGACCTAGTGTCACATGATCTGTCTTCTTTTTGTAGCACTGACCCTACAGTAATTCTTCAATTAGTCAGAAGATTCAAGCGGCTAAAGACGATACGACACATTCTTTAGCCGTAGATCATATTCTATAGTTCTATCTTCTATCTTCACCCTCTTCCATCACCCATTCCTTTCTTTTACTAATCTTTTTAGGATGAACACATTGGACCAGTAGGTCTCCCGGTAGAGCGGTTACCAAACGGTAACCGTGCGTCCTTTAACCTAACCTAACCTTTTCTTTATGTTCTGATAATATTCGGAAGAGATGATCTCAACAGTGGATAGAGTCGTTTACAGGATTAGCCAACTGGTTGACAATAGGTTCGATGGTTGTTGGGTCATTGGCAATAGCCGCACTTGTAACCATTGCTCCGAATTGTCATCTCGCTGACAACCTCTATGGTAAAATTCGGTTGAGGTATAGTCGGTTCCACGGTCTCGACTAGGAGAAGATTTCGGCGATCGTAGCTGATTGCTATCGGATGGGTCCAGATATTGCAGGAAGTGGGAAGCTAAACAGACATTTTGGGTAACTGTGAATAAAATAACCAAACGCGGACAGCCAGCGGGTTTAAGGGAAGAGCCTTGGACTATATACCTACAGTGGCTCACAGCTTATTTTAACCACCACTCTGGTAATGATGTCATCTTTCCCTGGCAGCGTCATCATACACACCTTACACAGCTTTCCATTCCAGTCGTGCAATTGTACATAATTTCCTGTCACTCCAGCCTCCATTTTTCTAGTACGACCTCCCCTTAACATCTTCACCTTCCTGCCAACATGAGCTTCCTTCATCATATTTTTATTAAGTTGTCGTAGATGGCCATCCTTTTTCATCTTTATCTCACTGGCGTACACTTCATCTTTGAATTCCGTCGTGTTCCGTTTCCACGTGGATAGGACATCTTGTTTTCCTTTCCACTTCGACGCTTCAGTGTTTGAAAGCTATACTTTCAAGTATTCGGGACTTGATTTTGTTCCTTCCCCAAGTACTTCAACTTCGGTAATAGAGTCTTCAACTATGTTGCGTGTTCTGATATTTTCGCAGCGATCTCATCACGTTCTGTTTCAGCTACTCTATGGGCCTCCTCCGAATAAGTGAAATATCCAGAAAGTAGTTTTACATGTCGTTCAAAGAATTTGAGGTGTGATTTGCTTGAGTACTTACTGCATGCGCTCCATCCTCAGCAGCCACCAATTCGGACATGAGTTCTAGCACTTGATATTGCAGGACTCGGCATTTACATTCATTCACATCTTCCATCAACTTTAAGTCTCGTTGAACTGGGACGTTCCATAACATAGATTGAGTCTATTTCAGAATTACCCGGCTGGTCTACAATTGATTCGATGGTTGTTGGTTCATTGGCAATAGCCGCATTGGTATCCATCGCTTCGACGATAATCATCTTGCTGACGATCACTATAATAAATTAAGGTTAAGGCACAGTCGTGGATTATAGCTGATTCCTATCGGATGGGTCCACAGATTGCAAGAAGGGGGAAGCTCAACAGATATTTTGGGTAACTGTGAATCAAATAACCAGACCCGGACAGCCAACGGGATTGAGGGTAGACCCTTGGATAAAATATCTACAGTGGTTCACAGCTTATTTCAACCACCACCCATTCTAATGTTTAGCTGGATATAATTTCTAAACAAATGAGATATTAAAAAAATAAATTGGCGCTCATAGAATAATATCAGAACTAAAAGAGAGTTAACTATTACACTCACGATCTAAAAACTAACTCCCTAATTTTTTTCAGAACATTGGGCTCCTTACATTCATTAAATATTCTATTTGAATCTTTTCTGCCCTTATTTTGGATTCAAGTTTTGTGAATATATCGATATATAATGCTCTGAACTGTAGAATCCCTTAGGATACCCATTTCCGCAAAGCTACGGTTGCAAGAGACCTTTATAAGTAGCCACGCAAGGTACGTCGATTTTCATATATACGGTTACACGAGACCTTAATAAGTACTCAAGCAGATTACACGGATGTTCAGGATTATGGAAAGTCATACAAGACTTACAAAGCATGTCGAAGGACTTCAAGGAAGTCGTCATGATATTCAAGGATGATCTAGGATGCCCAAAACAACTCCCCCGAGCTCGTGCCCTTCTAACCTTCATCAGTGTTAATTTTGGCTTCTTTGGTGGATAAGTTCGTGAGACTACAAACTACTTCCTCAAATGATATTTGGTACCAAATATTTTATAGGGCTCGGAAATACCTTTGCCAAATCGAGAACGGCTAAGATTTGGATATAGTTCCCATATATATCCTTAATCCGATTTCAGGTTTATTCTGCAAATAATGGCTAATATCAGCCCAAACGGAGTGAATTTCAGGACGTACATTTTCATTTTGTGGGACTCGGCTCCGATTTATATTTTTTGTACCCTACATCACACGGTGGTCAGGGTATTATGTCTTTGTGCATTTGTTTGTAACAGGCAAAAGGAAACGAGATAGACCCATAGTTCCTTTGATGACCTGCATGCCCGTCCGTCCGTCTGTCTGTCTTGTATGTATTTTTGTAAACAAAGTACAGTTCGCATTTATTGCCCGATCCAGATGAAATTTTGCACAAATTATTTGTTTGACCCAATGACGAACCCTATTGAAATTGGAGATAATCGGTCAAAATTTAGATATAGCTCCCATATATATATTCGTCCGATTTGCCTTTTATTGTGCACCAAACGTGTAATATCAGCCCGAATAGTATGGAATTTTGCACGTACGATCAGATTGGACCTGAAAATAAGTATGCCAAATTTGATCAAAATCGGTTCAGATATAGCTATACCTCCCATATATATTGTTCACCCGATTTGTTATTTTTGTCATCCGCAGCCGTAATATACACTCTGTAACAACAATATTTGGGGAAATATATCAAATACAGCTCAGAAATACATTTACTATCGAGATCGGTTCAGATTTGGATATAGCTCCCATATATAACTTCGTCCGATTTACCTTTGATTGTGCACCAAACGTCTAATATTTGCCCAAATTGGATGAAATTTGGCACTTAGAACCGAATTGAGCCTAGAAGCTAGTATGTCAAATGTGGTGAAGATCCGCTCAGATATAGCTATAGCTCCCATATATACTGTTCATCCGATTTGTTATATTTGTTACCCACAGCCGTAATATGCACTCCGTAACAACGATATTCAGGGAAATATATAAAATACAGCTCAGAAATATCTTTGCCAAATTTTATCGAGATCGGTTCCGATTGGGATATAGCTCCCAAGTCCGAACTTTGAACTTTAAATTATAATTATAATCATAGAGTGTATGATTGAATTCTCCCATAAAAACTTTTAATTGTTATGCGGAGCTCTACTAAATTAGCAAAGTGGTGTAGGGTCCCGCCCGACTTTAAGACTTTCTTTACTGTTTTTTTTTCGATATACAGGGAAAATCAGTAAAAATTTGTTAATTCTTGCAGTTCTTGAGCAGATCATCAATTATTCAAACTTCTACCTAATTACACCACCTAATCCTATTTTCATTTCCGCTGATTTCCACTTTCCTCTTTAATTGCAGCCAAAGGTAAATATATCGGTGCTCCGTGCAATAATATGTCGTGCGAGCCCACTTTGTTGCATGTCACCTGTGATAAGGAGACACAAATATGCGGCTGTGAAAGAGGTTATCCCGTACAAATTGGTTTGACCAGGGGATGCGATAAACGTAAGTAAAACAACAACAACAAAGTAGAAAGCTTAATAAATTACTAACATTGTCATTTTTCTCTCTCTCTCTCTCCCTCTCTATTTCTATTCTCATTACAATGGCATTCTCGTGAATTGCATAATACGCGACTCTCTCCCCTCCACTCCGACAGCCAAGAAACTGGGTGAAATGTGTTTCTACGACGAGACATGCCAGTTCAACGATGAAAACTCCCTTTGTGTTCAGGTGCGTCACAATGCAATGTGCCAGTGTGTGAAAGGCTATCATTCGGTGAGCTTAAATAAACCAACACGTCGTGTCTTCTGTACTCCAGGTAAGTAAGTTTGTCAAAGCAAAAAGGATGATGAAACAAGAGAAGAGAAACAAAACCATTAATATTCATTTTTCCAACGAAGAAAAAAAAATAACAACAACCGGGGTAGAGCCAGAGAGTTATTTATTCTACTCAATCGGAAAAGTTTGGGTGGCTTTAAAGTAGGAAAGATGGTTAACAAAAGTTTTTTTTTATCCCGTAAACAGAAGTTTGAACAAGTAAAGCCATTTAATTTATGTCTTAAGTAGGGCATGAAAAATGATGGGAGAAGGGGGACGTAGAAGGGCGGGCTATGCGTTGGCTTAGAAGTAGTTTAAGTTGTAAAGAGTTATGCAATACTCATAGAAGTTGTTATATGATCCTTTCGGATAATTTCTGTAAAAAACAAGTAAAAAAATATTAAGTTCGGCCGGACCAAACTTTTAATACCCTCCATCTTACGGTAAGTGAAACATTAGAGCCCTTTATGACCCACAGATACCAATTTTTAAACATATTCATGGGAAAATGTGTCAAAAATCATAAAAATACCTAATATTGGGAAATGCGGCTATATGGGGCTATACAAAAACGTGGACCTATACATACAATGTTTCGCCACACGAACTAGGACCTATTATAACCTACAAGTACCAATTTTTAGACAAATCAGTGAAAAAATGTGGCAAAAACCATCAAAACACCGAATATCTGGAGGTACCGTTATATGGGGATTATACCACAACCGTGGACCTATACATACAATATTTCGCCACACGAACTAGGACCCATTATGACCCACAAATACCAATTTTTAGACAAATCAGTGAAAAAATGTGGCAAAAATAATCAAAATATCGAATATCGGGAGGTACCTTTATATGGGGGCTATACCATAACGTGGACCGATATATTTCATGTTCAATACCAACCATCCTAGACTCAAAGCAAATTTCTCTGCTAAATTTTGGCGCTCTACGTCAAATAATGTGCGCTGTATAGTGATTTCTACAAACAGACGGATATCGTTATGGGGTCTACGACGAGTATTTAAGGATGTTACAAACGGAATGACAAAGTTAATATAACCTCCTTCCCAAGGTGGAGGGTATAAAAACTAGTGAGGAAAAGTTAAAAGTCGGGCGGAGCCGACTATATGATACCCTACACCACTTTGCATATTTAGTTGAGCTCCCGTAAAAAAAGAATTGATTTGAAGTAGATCATACCCAGTCAGCATTTTTTGAAATTTTTAATCATATTCGAGTCTTTTTTGATCCCGTTGCGCGATTAGAAAGCTGGAATATGAGCGCATTTTCTGATCATAAAAGACTCAGTTGTCGGGAGAAAAACGTGACCTCCCGCGACTCTTCTAAATAAATCACATATGAGTCTTCCTCTAGATTAGTTAAGAGTGTTTTTCGACCATTTCTTTTTCGAGTCGTTTTCTAAACGTTTATTGCACTAAAACGCTTAATTTGTGAATCTTTTTCGAGTCTTTTTTAAAGTCATTTTTTGATCATTTATGAGTCTTAAGTGTGTAATTTTTTAGTCTTTTAAGTGTCATATATCACTCATATGTATATTCATTTAGGAGTCTTTTATTAGTCCCATTTGTCTTAAATTCTAGTCATTTTTCGATTCTACGAATCACGTACGTGATTTCTAAATATTCGGATGTACCGTAAAAAATAGAATTTAATTATATATGTTCATATAAATATTTATTTAAAATAAAAATAATTCAGCTTTTATGATTATAATTTGTACTGTAATATCAATAAATGCGATTGTAAAAAATATAGTAAAAAATTAAATAAGAAAATGAAAAATCAAAAAATAAAAAATAAAAAAATCAGGAACTGCAATCGGGCCGTTTTCTATTTGTAACGCGGTCTCTACCGTGAACAAAATATTTTTGTAGGATTGTGTTCATATCCTTGTCGTTGATTGAGTATTTAAAATGACACATATCTGAAATAAAATACAGTTTGTCAAATAATTATTTGCAAAATGCAAAAAGTCGTAATTTTTGATATTTAAATTGAAAATGTATAAACAAAAACGAACTTTATTACACTTTTTCTTTTATTGTATATTAAAGGTGACAGTTACTATTGACATTAATAAAAAAACATGTAAATTTCTATATAAAACAAACCAACAAATAACAAAAACAAAACAAAAGCAAATATTCTCTTGTCAATTAAATCTTTGCAAAATGTAAACATAGGTCGAAAAGGAAAACAAAACTAAATAACGGTACATCATTTTCGAAAAAAAAAATTGGTCTGCTTCTTTAATTTGCTCTCCACTAATATTTTAATACGATTTATTATTTGTACAAGTGCACATTTAAACAGAAACTGCGATTTTAACCATGCCTGGAAAACGAGTTGATGATAATTTAATTCAGTTAGTTTATTACAACTATTATAAGGGAAAAACGGCAAAAGAGTTGGCGGAAATGTTTAATATTAAATTGAGGACCATATATAATATAATTAATCGTGTAGAAAAAGAAAATCGTCTGCACCTTAACAATTCTAAGGAAAGACCACCAAAACTCAACAGACGCGATCAGTCCAAAATTTAAAAAAAAAATAGAAGAAAATCCGCAAACAAGTCTGAGGCAGTTGGCATTGGACATAAAAAATGAGTGTCATAAGGAAGTGAGCCACGAGACTGTTAGAAAAGTCTTAAAAATCCACAAGTACTCGTCTCATGTAGCCAGAAAGAAGCCATTGCTTTCTGCTGTTAACATTGAGAAGCGGCTTACATTTTCTATTAATAATTTTACAAATGCTGAGGAGTACTGGAACGACGTAATTTTTTGCGATGAGACAAAAATCATGTTATATCATCATGACAGACCCAGTAAAATATGGAGAAAGCCAAACTCTGCACTTCAACAAAAAAATATAATACCAACAGTTAAGTTTGGCAAGCTCTCTGTAATGGTGTGGGGTTGTATTTCTTCAAAGGGCGTTGGGGAGCTGCCTATTTTTAACGAAACTATGACGAAAGAATATTATTTGGACATTCTGAAAAATGAATTATCCAGGAGTGCCAAAAGTTTCGGGTTTGTTGATCCTCAAAAGCCAAATAAACTTAAGTATAAGTTGTATCAGGACAACGACCCCAAACACAAATCGTTACTTTGCAGGACCTGGTTGCTTTATAATTGCAGCAAAGTTATTGACGCTCCACCCCAAAGTCCAGACTTAAATCCCATAGAAAATTTGTGGGCATTATTGGAGAAAAAGGTTGCAAAACGCGGTCCTACCAATAAAAACGCTTTAGTCAAAGCAATACAAGAAGAATGACAGAAAATTCCTGAATATTACGATATAAATGGACTAATACAGTCAATGCCGCGTCGGCTAAAGGCAGTCATGGATGCTAATGGACACCATACCAAATATAAACCTTCATAGTAAAAAAATTTTAAAGTTTCTGTTGTAATTCTACTATGAGCTTTCGTTTTGCAAAGAATTTATTGACAAGGAAATATTCGCTTTTATTTTGTTTTTGTATTTTATTTTTTTATTTAATGTAAAAACGTATAATTTTTTTTCATTAATATCAATATTTACTATTAAATTTAATATATAGTAAAAGAAAAAAATGTAAAAAAATAGTTTTCTTAATAAATTTTTACTTTATATATGAAAAAAAAATAATTTTTTTAATTTTGCAAAGAATTATTTGACAAACTGTATGTACAAGTCTGTCCATTTTACTAATTCTTTATATACGTGTTAAAAAGACAAACTAACTTTTGATTACTGTAACTAAATAACACTTTTCTGCACTCAGATTTGGCCTGTCCCCTTCCAGCTGTATTGGCAGGCTAATTTATCTGAAAAAACCTTTCGGTTTTTGCAATAAACTCTTTCTGGAAATAGATTATCAAAAAATATATAAGTATTAATAGTTTATAAAGTAGTGAATTAATCAATCAAATACCCAATTTTCTATACTTAGAACTCAATTTCTGTCTCATTTTGCTTGACCAATTCACGTTTCTGGACATTTTCTTCATTTTTCTCATATTTAGTTTTACTTCTTTTTTGCAAAATTAAATTTTCTGCTTCTTTTTTGACATCGTTTTTATTTTTGTCTTTTCTATTTTTGTAATTTAACTTGCTGACATTTTCTTTATAAATATTAATAAATAAACAAAGAGATAAACGTAGACTTTTTTATATATTTTTTTTTATTTTTCAATATTATACACTTTTGCTGTTGACGCCTTCACGCACTTTTTATAAATAAACAGTAATTCAACTTTTTGATAGTCAGTCCAGAAACAAAATGACCCTTGTATAACAAAACAAGCAACATTTATGCACTTACCTGTGCAAAATATGATCAAAAAATACATAATTTTTATCACTTTCCAAACAGCTGCAAGACTAATCATTTTTCAATCTCTAGATGATCGCAATACGATAATAAATAACGGAAAAATTGTCACATTTTGCACCTCTCAATGATTGATTTGAGATTCCCCTACATTTTGTTGTTGTATATTAAATTGATCTCTTTTCACTCATTAGAGAGAGTCATTTTCGAATCGCTTTTCGATCATACAAGTCACCAAAACGACTCGAAGAAGACTCACCAAAGTGATTTTTTCAAAAACAATCTTTCAAATGCTAGCTGGGTACCACCTATCGCACATTTGGCTTTAGATCAGTTTGGTTTCAGAGAGAAGTAATATATGGGAGGCATATCCAATTCTGAATCGATTTTTATTAAATTAATATTTTATACCAAATAACATTGCTATAGAGTGTAGGATATCACCTCCAGAAGGATTATATTTAAAAATATCGGATCCAAGTTCCACAAAATGGAAACGTACATCCCGAAACTCGTTCCATTTGGGCTTATATTAGTCATTATTTGCACAATAGACCTTAAATCGGATTAAGGATATATATGAGACCTTTATCTTAGCCGTTCTCGATAAAATTTTTCCCTAAAAAAAGCTATTCATTATTTCTCTTTATAACCCCCCTTTCCCCTCTTTTTTGATTACAGATCTAGACGAATTAAATTCCGATCTGCCAACACTGCTAGGAGTTTGTGTTGGCATTGGAGTACTAGCCGGTCTAATCTGCATGGTATTGCATCTGTTTAGTAAAACTAAATATCCACGTCATCGGAATTTCGGTGATGCCAATTTACCGCCACCTATAATGTATTCAAGTGAAACAGGTAATGTTTACAGATTCCCGGATCCGGAATTTCTCAAATCAAACACCTTTTAAGCATCTCACAATGAAGAGGAGAGTGGAGGCGTTGAGGGAGCCACTCTCTTTCGCTCTCTCTCTCCCTTCTTCTCGTTTGTAGTATTAGCTCTCATTAATGTCCATTACCTCTTTTTTTGTTCGTTTCATTAAATCAAACGAAAAACATTTGCTCTTGGTTGTTTTGTGAATCTGATGTGTCTTCACGTTCGCCAGGTATCCACCATCAACGTCATTACACAGTGCAATCCGGTCGTCCATCATCACGTTCGAGTATACGCTCCAGTGGCGGCTCAATCGGTTCCTATGGCAATCGTCGCTCGTCCACGGGTGGTGTTACATCAACAACGGCCGGTTCCAAGGGCATACTGGTCTCCACGTCACGCACAGGTGCGGCTAGATCGGCCGCCATATTGCTTATATCGTGTCACTTGTCAACCTTATCAAAACAAAGTCTCGCCTCGAGGGCCACTTCGCGCCAGACCTCCGGTGCTGGCTGCAGTGCCAATTCGCGCGATAACCTCGACGAGAACGGATCGGATCCGGGTAGTCGAAGTTGTGACAGCACACTGTCGATGACGCGTCATCTGCAAAAGCAACTGAATCACCAGCGTCAGTTGCTGAGTTTCGAACTGTCGCCGGCCAAAACAAAAAATCATGATAGAGTTCGGGCCCTGTTGGGCCTGAACGGCATTGAGAATATCAATGATGAAGAAGAAGAAATGAATAGTTTAGATAATGGCCATTTAGTGATTGGTGCTCTGCCGACACCGGCCAGTGAAACGCCAAGATTTGCGGTAAACGAACTTTTCCAACAACAAAAAAAAAAACGAAACAAACTTCCCAAGAAAACCACACACACACACTACAAAAACACAAACACCCACATTCTCTCAGATATTTACACCGACAATTTTAACTCTGAACTCCTCTCTTCCTGTTACAGTAACAACAACAAGAACTACCACATTTACCCATACACGTACACCTGTAATTTATGGCCATTATAAAAAAAAAAAAAACAGAGGACAATTCCATTCTGAAAAAATAACATTTGCCCTCCCTTCAAACCCCACCACATGCCACTACTATTTCCTTCCTCTTCCGCCATCCGCAATCCACAAAACCAACATCCAACAACAAAAACAATGCAACAACACACAACAATTTACTTTTTCTTATTCGTATTCTCGTATCCGTATTCGTTCGTATTGATTGATTGATTGATTGATGATTGGTAGAGTTGGTTGCAGTTTTTAGTGTGTTTTAGACTTGCTGTTGTTGTTGTTGATTCCGTGAACGAGACTTGATACACCTACATACATATGTTGTTGTACTACCTTCTGTTTTTTTACAAAAAAAAAAAAAATAAATAAAATAACTTACTTATCTATCTCTCTATCCAACCAACCGTTCATTCATCCATCCATCCGTACTCGTATTTATTGATGTTGTTTCTGTTTTTTTTCTCTTTCTCTCTCTCTCTCCCATAATCTTGTATATTGTGTAACGTGTATGGACGAATGTGCAACGTGTGTGTACGGAGGATGCATTTGATTGTAAACAAAAAAGGAACACCATATCCCCTGAAAAAAAAGAAAGAATGAAGACTCTCCATTAATGTATTTTTGGTTGGCACGGTTGGCAAAAGTAGTTATGGGATAAATTATTTTCCATTCTAACACGACTTTTGTCATGGGAAACCGTGTAAATGTTTTAGAGGAGATGTGCAAAAGATCGTTCATGGAAAATGTTGGGACCCAAAAGAAAATGGCCTGTAATAGGACCTCAACTTAAGTGAAATTTTTACTATCTCTAGAAGAACTATATAGGGTCTTTCACTAATATAGATCAGTTTTGAACACTCCCATGTGTCTAGAAAAACCCTTAAAGGAAATTGTCAAAAAAAAAAAATTAAATCCATTAAAAATTCTGTTAACATTTTAAAAATACCGAATATAGCCGTTATATTGCAGAATTCAAATACGAAACTTACAAAAAAAATCCAGTGAATAATGTAGCTAAAATCATCAAAATACCGAACATAGGGAGGTACCGTTATCGAAACTATAAGATGACCTGGAGCTTCATATAAATTTTTCTGTCACAGGCTGTAGTACCTATTAGGAACTTCAAATATCAAATTTGAAACAATTTCGATGAATATTGTACCCAAAATCGTCAGAATACCAAATTTTGGGGGGTTCCGTTATATGGGGGCAATACGAAGATGTGGGCCTGTATAGACAATTTTCTGTCGTAGACTGTAGATCCTATTACGAACTTCACATACGAAATTTGAAACCACTCTGGTGAATAATGTCGCTAAAACCATTAAAATACCGAATATTGGGAGGTACCATTATATGGGGCCTATACGAACCCCTGGATCTGCATAGACAATTTTCTGTCGCAGGCTGTAGTACCTATTAGGAACTTCAAAAACAAAATTTGAAACAACTCCGGTGAATAATGCCGCTAAAATCGTCATAATACCAAATTTTGGGGGGTGCCGTTATATGGGGGCTATACGAAGACGTGGACCTGCATACGCAATTTTTTTGTCATAGACTGTAGTATGCATTACGAACTTCAAATACCAAATTTTAAACATTTGCGATGAATACTGTATATCGGGAGGTACGGTTATATGAGGGCTATACGAAGACGTGGAGATGCACAGACAATTTTCTGTCTTAGGCTGTAGTATCCTTTACGAACTTCAAATACCAAGTTTAAAACAATTCCGGTGAATATTGTCGCTAAAATAATTAAAATACCGAATATCGGAAGGTACTGATATATGGGGCCTATACGAAGACCTGGACCTGCATAGACAATTTTCTGGCATAGGCTGTAGTTCCCATTACGAACTCTAAATACGAAATTTGAAAAAACTCCAATGAATAATGTCGCTTAAATCATCAAAATATCGAATATCGTGGGTACCGTTATATGGATGCTATACGAAGATGTGGGCCTATATAGACATTTCCCTTCCAGGGAGTAAAGTGCTTGGAAGTAACTCCTTGTGTGAATTTTCAGACAATTCCATTGAAAAATGTGGCTAAAATCATCAAAATATCTAATGTCGGGAGGTACAGTTATACGGGGGCTACACGATATCGTGGATCTATATAAATAACTCTTATCCAGGGGGTAAAGTACTCAGAAAGAACTCCTTGTGTGAATTTTCAGACAATTCCGTGGAAAACGTGGCTAAAATCATGAAAATACCGAATATCGGGGGGTACCGTTATATGGGGGATATACAATATCGCGGACCTATATACAATACTCTTCCAGGGGGTAAAGTACTCATAAGGAACTCCTTTCCTAGATTTTCAGACAATTTCATTGAAAAATGTTTGCTACAATCATCAAAAATGTCGGAATACAACAGCTTCGCTTGGGTGTAGATTTAATTCTGGTTTTTATTTGAAAATATGTTTCTTAAGTACTACTGAAACTAATCTAACTTAACCTAATCGTAGCCACACAATTATTCTTTTCTATCTACTGAGCGCATCGATATCTGTGCGTGTGGGGCATAACCTTTAATTTCTTACACATTATCGTATTCGACAGCGCACAAGATCACTGAATTCTACACATGCGATATTTTATCGCAGCTAGGAGACTGAATATTTTCAAATATTTATTTCTAGTTGTTAAATTTTCCCAGCGTCTCACCCGCACTCAAGAGTATGTACAAAGTATTTTGTACAGCCCCTATAACGGTTTTCATTGAAACGGTACTTTTCGACGGAATTTCTTTTGAAAAATTTCATGTTCCTTCCTGGTGGTGCCCTTCCGCCAATTCTTTAAGTTTCAGCTTTCCCTCAGTTCCTTTAAGTTCTTGCTTTCACCGCAGCCCAAAAGCTTAGGTTTCCCGGGAAGCGACTGAGAGAACCATGATAGTAGTTACACCCAATTGCTAGCTGACATCGTTTATGGTTAGGGCGGTATTAAAGGTCGGCCCTAACCTGTTTTTAACTTGTTTATTTTTTTAACTTGTTTATATAAAGACAACAAGAGAAAAGGATACAATGAAATGGAACGGTTTTATATTTTGTATGTTGAATAAAAGGTTCAATGATGTTACTGTAGCATTTTTCTCACAAATAAAGTTCTTTCAATAGGAGATCTTCATGGGAACGCCTATTCCTTTTCTTTGATGATTTCGCCAAAAATACATACAATAATGGAGAGCAAATTTTGAGAATGGAAAATGGTGTTCAAATGCGTATTTTTTATGATTTTCAATTAAGAATTACTTTAATTTTGTTTTTAATATGAATTCGAATAAAAATCTCTTTTGACAAAGATAAGTAAGTTTTCGTTCAATGTCAGCGCGATTTATATGTTTGATGTCCGTGTCCGATCGGAAGCACAATTCAAAATTTGTATGTCCCCTTATCAACCTCACGTAAATCATGGAATTGCCATTTCAGATCTTTTATCTTGTTAAATTGTGGGAGAAATTTTCCTAGAGGTTCGGGGGAAATTCGTTATCAACACAGTGATGACAAAATTAGGTATTTACGTGTAACGTAGATTTTGAGGCTAAGGGTTTTATACTTTCGAAAACCGCGTTTATTTAAATTAGCATCAACCTCAGACCATTTCATTGCGACTGCATTCCTTGACAGGTTTGAACCGATATTGTCTAAGGAGTTTGCATGGCAGAAGAATGCGGGTAGATGCATCAACACTTGGAAACATTGATAGTCAAACATTTGTTAATGTTTCTTCAAAAATAGGTTGATTTGTAAATGTTTTCCTATACGACGCCTTTCGGAGGTTGTTGTTATGTACGTTTTTTACAATTTTTAATAATTTTTGATTCAAAAATTTCAATTCCAAAATTGGTTTGACAGTTCATTGTCCCAGCAGCTGTTTCGATGGGTCTACCTGTATTCCTCTACCATGGGAGTTCGAATCGCTCTGACAACACATGCGGTATATTCCTTTAGTAATACGACCCATATGATCGCAATTTGTCAGCTGTTGTTTATACAGGGTGAGATAAAAAACTGCAACAAAGTCAAACGCCATAATTTTTAAATTTTTTTTAATTTTATTAAATGAAAGCAAAAAATGTCGGAAGTAGCATCAAATTTTAGAATAGGTTTAGATTTGTTCGAATTGATCACCTGTGGAACGAATTATGGCCTTCAAACGACCAATGAAACCGTCACACGCTGCCCGAATATTGCTCTTCGATATTTTGGCCCATTCCCGGCGAAGTGCTTGCTTGATTGACACTTTGGCATTTTTTAGTGCCAACCTTGCTTTCTAAAAATACTCCAGACACAATAGTCCAACGGATTGGTATCCGGAGATTTTGATGGCCATTGTGCGCTGAAAATGAAGCGAGGAACCCCATT